GTTAAAAGAAACATATGCGGAAGTAATTTACAGTATGAGAGTAATGCCCTTATTTTCAAAAGAGAAGTTCCGTAGACACTTGCTACATTGAAATACGTTCACTGTGGAGGTTTAAAGAGAGAGACTGATGACGTCCAAGCAGATGTGGTTGGCAGCGTACAATACAGCCCTCTTTCATGTTCGATGCCCGCTGCGCCAAAGTCATGCATGACTGGGACTCGGTGGGGTGTGGTGCGATGGAGCCAAACTTCACTTGTCTTAGGGCATCATCATCAACAACATTTTCCTTACCATGGCCACGTTGGATGTTACAGGAAAACCCTAAAAAATGTAGTCTGTATGACAAATCTCGCGAGTTGTGCATCGTTTGGAGTTAGCTCTTAGGGCGAAAACATAGGACTAGTAAACCGTGTGCATGACAAATTCACGATCCTCAAGGAAGTATTTGAAATTTCGGATACATAGATAGGTAAATTGCCAGGCTTTCGCGGCTAGAGACACTGTAGCGAGTTTCCTGCCGAGCTAAGCTTGTTTTGGAAAGAAAGCTAAAGGCTGAAAGACTATGCCAACAGTCTGCTGGAGGGATGCACGAACGCCAGTGCTGGAAGCATCTTCAATGAGAGTTAGGTCAACATGTAAGTGGGGATGCGCAAGGAGAGTTGCTTTCGCAAGAGCTGCCTTGACGTCATTGAAGGACTTGACGGCCTCCTCGCTTAGCGTCAGCATCTTCTTTGAGCAAGCAAAGATACTATTGTTCGGCTGCAGGATGGTGGTGCCGTAGGGGAGATAACGATAGTACAGTACAGTCTATACTTCATTTAACATGCCGAAATACGCAAAAATTGATGCTCTATCGCAAATAGGCACTCATGAAGCTTGTTATACTGATTATCGTGTAATATATATTTTCAAGTCATTTCAGTAACAATATGCTGCCAGCTCTTTTACGACCTTCCTTCTGACTGCTAACAAAACGCATGTATTGTAAAAACAAAGCTACTAAAGTAGTATGCATTTTTATCTTTGATTTTGACCGCCTTTATAAATTCAAATATGCTTATGCAAAACATAAACGAATAAATTAGTTCTCGTACTCATTTGAGAGCGAATAACACCTGCTTTTAACTTTATACTTAAAGAAAAAGTATCTCCCAGTTTTAAGAAAGTTTCTAAATTGCCAAATCATTTTTAAACCTACTGACTGCCGCACTTGCATTTTAAGGTTTGCATGCTGCGCGCTGTGTACATCCTGTTTAAAGAAAAGTAGGTTTAGGCTGTGCGCCTTTGTACTTTTGCGCCCCCGCTGTCGACGCGCGTACGCCGAAGATAATTGATTCCTCGCGAGCTCTGACGTCAACACCTGCACCCTTTCCTTATTGGCTGAGGGCTGGATACTTCGCTAACCCCGCGCACCTAGACACTTTTACACCGACTCGACTGGCTTCTGTATGCGGTGCTTACAGTAGCTACTGTAAAACTTATCGAGCAGTAAAGTGGCCCGAATTCATTCAGTCTTCCCAGACCTGTGATTTGGGGATCCTTCTGGTGTCGAAGCAGTAACTAGCCCTCAATAGTTACTCGCTACACACAAATGACGGTGATCATTCTATGTACATGACTCACTGACCAATGCCCATAACCTAATCAAACACGCTGAACTCGCATACTTGTGCAGACTGAAAAAGTCCGCAGTGGCCAATCGGCGCCCACGTCAGACAATTATTAATTTTTCTACGCGTTTGAACTATTATTTTTTTGCAAAGCTACTGGCCTGATGGAGAGTTGACGAAAACATGTTAGCCAAAACTGACTTGTCTAATTTTACAATTACTTGCGGATGCAAGTACATTGGGCGTACGCAAAGGCAACTGGCAGCCAGAGCCGCTGAGCACTTGCTAAACTGGCTTTTCAAGCAAGAATACTGAGTACCACGGTCCTTCGTTACCAAGCCTCTGCTAGACAGTGGTCATTCTGCCGACGTCAAAGCAGCGCTTCGCGTACTTGTTCGGGCCAGAGCAAATCGAACTATGCACAATCTGGAAGCTGATTGCATACGGCGGGAGAAACACGAAATACGCAAGCAGCTTTACTATGTGATCAACCTCCAATAACCCCGGTAATTGGTCGGTTAATTTTAATCCCCACGTGATTTTCGTTCACTTCTCTCAACGCCCCTTCCTTTACGTTGCTTTAATGCAGTGTCCCTTAACTGATAATAATTTTTTAAACTGAACTATGATCCTTACTGTTATGCCATTCATTCTGTGAAATGTCAAACCGTTGTATGTTCTCTTCGTTATCATCCTCAAATAGCGACAAGGTGTAGTTGAGAAGCTGTCACGAAATTTACTGACGTCAATAGATCCTACCGTATACGCCTGTTTTAAATTTATAAATTCGAATATATTTTATGGAAAACATAAACGAAAAATTATTTCTTGTATTCGTTTGATAGCAACTGACGCCTTCTTTAAATTTTATACTTCAAGAAAGGTTACCTTTCTGTTTTAAAAATTTTCTAATTACGAGCTTTTTTAGGACTGTGAGGTGTCCATTAATTAAACATCACACCCATCTATTTATTAATGCTACCTATAAGGTATATGGCATGTCTCACATCTGCTGCAAAATGTTATGGGAACTATGTGACTTCCTCCTCAAACCATAGGCGAAAACCTACTTTTCTTTAAATAGGATGTACACAGCGCGCAGCATGCAAACCTTAAAATGCAAGTGTTGCAGTCAGTAGGTTTAGAAATGATTCGGCAATTTAGAAACTTTCTTAAAACTGAGATATACTCTTTTTTAAGTATAAAGTTAAAAGCAGGCGTAATTCGCTACCAAATGAGTGCAAGAAATATTTTTTTCGTTTATGTATTCCATAAAATATATTTGACGTTTAGTTAGCGGTCAGAAAGAAGCTGGTTAAGAGGCTGGTATCCTATCGTTACTGAAATGACTTGAGAATATACTTCACGATAATCAGTGTGACAATCTTATTCAATGCCGATTAACGAAAGGGTATCAATGGGTTGCATATGTCGGCATGCTACACGAATTCTAGGCCGTACTGCATTCATCCGCCATACTCAGGAAGCCACGTAATTGCTTGGTAGGGAATGTATTTTTTGCAATTGCTGAAAACTTTTCAGGACGGGTTGTATCCCGTCTGAGTCAGATCATCGCTATACTCCGAACTACTATGCCTCATTTTTGACGATTTATTCTTCCTGGAATTTAAATTGCATGCAGTATGGAGTTGACGTCAACAGGCAATGCGTGTGTTGAGTTGGATGAACCGTTGGGCCTCCAAAAAATCAATTTCTGGCAGCATTACCGTATTCTGCTATGGAAGAGTTTTCTCCTTCGTCGTCGTCAGCCCGGTTTCCTCGTCTTCGAACTCCTCCTACCTCTGGTCCTGCTTTGAATTGTAATTGGTATAAGAACAGTTTCACAGCCCACGATCTATCCTCCCTGTCACATCACTGCCCAACCCCTACCCAGCATGGGCTTTTTCAAACACCTACGTTCCCTCGTCTGCAGCGTAAACCTCACCTGTACAGACTACGATTACGATCGCACCTCCGGTGACCTGCCGCCTTGGTTACACAGTCTGGCAAGTTTGACTAGCCAATCATATTTGGAAAAAATTACTGACCTTGAGGACCATCTCTCCGCCACCGCCTCTGACGACGACAGGCCTCTCGCCTTTGCTGATCATTTAATGAGAACAGCTGATACCTTGGCAAGCGCTTACTCTTCTTCTTCTGCTAGCCCAACCAATCAGACAATCAACGGGACAGTCATCCTGGAGATCATGAAACGCCTCTCAATCCCTGTTTGTGGTACCCGACCGGGACAGAACGACTTCCTTAATTTAGCCGACATCGCACAGAATGGGAACCTCCCAATCGGCAAAACAAGGGCTAGCACACCTACATTAAGTCAGTTTTTTACTGCTAATTTCTCCACCAACGTTACAGCCTGTTCCCTCCTCAATGACTTATTTGCTGTCGAAACTCCGCGCCCGTGGACCCTACGACTGCGCACCCTAATGCAAGGGCACATCTTCTACCACCCTGTCACACCTCTTACACAACGAATCATACGTGGAGCCAACTCGACGGCGCGCATGTTCGAACGACTAAAAAACGCCTCCAACGCCTGGGTGGACATGGAAGCTGAAGTGTTGCCAAACATTCTTGTAAACAGCACTCTGGCCAAACGACTCCGGAAATTGGCCTATGACTGTTTGCTTATACCAAATAAGCCAGCAAATCTAACTGAGCTGTGTCGTCGACTGAAATACTTTCTGGAAGTGGAAAAGCCAACATTGCCGCCGCCCACAACCAACTCCAACAGCAGACCCTACGTCCATTGGTCAGAGCTGATTGAACCAATCACAGTCCTCAGCGCTGCGATGGACAACATCCTTTCTGCCTGCATCAACTACGATCGTTTTGTTGGCTATGCCAATTCCACTCTGATGGAGGAGAGGGCAGCGAACCACAGCGCTGCCGACCAGCCCGTGATGATGTTGTATTTTGATGCTGCTCCGGCCACCGCTGCGAATCTGAGTGACCTCAGATCCACCCTACTCAGCACTCGCTTCCGGCTGCCCTTTTCTGCAGTTGATACAACCTACCAATCCAAGGTCCTGGACGAGTACTGGACGCCGGCACCACGGCACGGGGTCCGCCGAAGCATGAAGTACTTCACCAGTGGTTTCATTGATGTGCAGGAACAGATTGCGCGCTCCTACCTTGGCACTGTTAGTTGCGAGAGCAGCAGCAGCAGTACGGACGATCTCTACTCGAATCGCCTGCTTCCGGTTGAAATGAAATTTATACCTGGTCCCTGCTACCAGCTAGATGAAATGCAGCGCACTTTTAACCGCAGCATGTCCATGATGATTGTTGTCATCTGGATCTGCACATCAGTCTTTGCTGTGCGCGCCATCGTCTATGAGAAGGAGTGTCGCCTGAAAAAATTCACGAAAGTCATGGGCATGGACAACCTGGTGCACTGGCTGAACTGGTGGACGGTGAGTTATGTAACCATGGGCGCGCCGGCTCTTGTGGCAGCCCTGATGCTCAAATTCGGACGTATTTATCCCAAGGGGGACTTCTTTGTGATTTTTTGTTGTTTTCTGGCCTACCTCTGGGCCCTCATTCCACAGGCCTTCTTTGTTTCGGTCTTCTATACGAAGGCCAACTTCGGTGTGGTTGTAGCCGGCCTACTGCATTTCGGCTTTCTTCCTGCTATATGACCTCGACTACACACAGTATACTGCAATATCTATTTGCCCACAAGTTGCCTTTGCGCTGTCTTTCAATCGCCTGGGTGACCTAGAAGCTACGGGACAAGGTGCCCAATGGAGCAATATGTGGGGCACAGAGCTGACTAATGAGAATTTTACGCTGGGAAACTGTCTCGTAATGCTACTGGTTGACGGCATTCTATCTCTACTCTGTACGGCTTACCTGGAGGCAGTTCTACCGAGTAAATACGGCGTTCCCTGGAAGTGGTACTTTCTTTTCACCCGCAGCTTCTGGCAGGAGATCTGTGGAAAATGTCGTTGCTGTACCAAGAGCAAAGACAAAGTCCACGGAGGGCCTAGTGGAGACCTTCCACGGCCGCCGCTATCATCGTCATCGGCCTCATCACAACAACCACCAGAACAGATTTACGATGAGTTCCAGGAACCACCACCACCACCAGATACGTATTTCGTTGGTGTTTCGATCCGCGGTCTGACTAAGAAGTATCACCGTGGGAAGCAGACAGCCCTTGACAACTTGTGGGTTGACTTCTAGGCAAGTCAGATCACCTCCTTTCTGGGCCACAATGGAGCTGGCAAGACCACGACAATGTCCGTTCTCAGTGGCATCTATCCGGCCTCCAGTGGGGACGCTTATATCTGCGGAAAAAAGTATCAAGACAGAAATGTCCGCTATCCGAACATTTCTAGGCCTCTGTCCTCAGCATAACATCCTCTACGACCACATGACCGTGCAGGAGCATCTGCGTTTCTACGGTGGGATTAAAGGACTCACGAGGGATGAGATAGAGGGAGAGACGAATGCCTTCCTTAAGCAGCTGGAACTCACAGAGAAAGCGGACACTCTGAGCATGAGTCTTTCGGGTGGACAGAAAAGGCGGCTCTCGCTGGCGGCAGCTTTCATCGGCGGTTCCAAAATAGTCTTCCTGGACGAACCCACGGCAGGTGTGGATCCGCACTCTCGACGGTCTATCTGGCAGATGATCCTAGGCTTCCGAGAGTCGCGCACCATCATCCTCACCACGCATCACATGGATGAGGCAGATGTACTTGGTGACCGCATTGTCATCC